CGGACACATGTTTACTAAACCCACACACATGTTTACATTACCCTGACATATGTTTACATAACCCGGATACATGTTTACATAACCCTGACATATGTTTACATAACCCTGACATATGTTAATATAACCCTGACATATGTTAATATAACCCTGACATATGTTAATAAAACCCTTGTCTTGGGTGTCTTAGTTGGTCATAACAGGAATCATAGATATAGCCTGATTGGCGTTACAGTGTATGTCCTGGGTGCGTCTGAGCTGGTCATAACAGGAATCATATATATAGCATGATTGGCGTTACAGTGTATGTCCCGAGTGAGTCTTAGCTTGGCATAACAAGGAATCATATATATAGCATGATTGGCGTTACAGTGTATGTCCTGGGTTAGTATTAGCTGGGCATAACAGGAATCATATATATAGCCGTATTGGCGCTACAGTGTATGTCCCGAGTGAGTCTTAGCTGGGCATAACAGGAATCATAGATATAGCCTTATTGGCGTTACAGTGTATGTCTTGGGTGTCTTAACTGGACATAACAGGAATCATAGATATCGCCTTTTTGGCGTTACAGTGTATGTCCTGGATGTGTCTGAGCTGGTCATAACAGGAATCATATATATAGCCTTTTTGGCGTTACAGTGTATGTCCTGGGTGTGTCTGAGCTGGTCATAACGGGAATCATATATATAGCCTGATTGGCGTTACAGTGTATGTCCTGATTGAGTCTTAGCTGGTCATAACGGGAATCATAGATATAGCCTTATTGGCGTTACAGTGTATGTCCTGGGTGTGTCTGAGCTGGTCATAACGGGAATCATATATATAGCCTGTTTGGCGTTACAGTGTATGTCCTGAGTGAGTCTTAGCTGGTCATAACAGGAATCATATATATATCCTTTTTGGCGTTACAGTGTATGTCCTGGATGTGTCTGAGCTGGTCATAACGGGAATCATATATATAGCCTGATTGGTGTTACAGTGTATGTCCTGATTGAGTCCTAGCTGGTCATAACGGGAATCATAGATATAGCCGGATTGGCGTTACAGTGTATGTCCTGGGTGTGTCTGAGCTGGTCATAACAGGAATCATATATATAGCCGTATTGGCGTTACAGTGTATGTCCTGGGTGAGTCTTAGCTGGTCATAACGGGAATCATAGATATAGCCTGATTGGCGTTACAGTGTATGTCCTGGGTGAGTCTTAGCTGGTAATAACGGGAATCATAGATATAGCCTTATTGGCGTTACAGTGTATGTCTTGGGTGTCTTAACTGGACATAACAGGAATCATAGATATCGCCTTTTTGGCGTTACAGTGTATGTCCTGTGTTTGGCTTAGCTGGGCATATTAAGAATCATAGATATAGCCTTATTTGCGTTACAGTGTATGTCCTGGGTGTGTCTGGCTGGTCATAACAGGAATCATATATATAGCCTTTTGGCGTTACAGTGTATGTCCTGGGTGAGTCTTAGCTGGTAATAACGGGAATCATAGATATAGCCGGATTGGCGTTACAGTGTATGTCCTGTGTTTGTCTTAGCTGGGCATATTAAGAATCATAGATATAGCCTTATTTGCGTTACAGTGTATGTCCTGGGTGTTTCTGAGCTGGTCATAACAGGAATCATATATATACCTTTATTGGCGTATATTTCATGTTGCTAGTGCGCATTAAAATGCAACACATAATCATAGAAAATATGACACTAATACCAACCAAGATTATGCATAATGACAAGGAGTTAAAATCTGAAACATATACATGTACATTAAACTAGTCGCTTCTTTTGCAATCAAACCTACTGTCAACGTATTTCTGGATACATTTTTTCTAAACATTTTCTTTCTTTATAAGTCTCCCTCAATATACCACTCCTTTTATAACGTCAGCGATGGCAGTATAATGAAGTTTTACAAAACCCTAACACATGTTTACATAACCCTGACATATGATTACATAACCCGGACACATGTTTACTTAACCCCGACCCATGTTTACATAACCCTGAAACATGATCACATAATCCTGACATATGTTAATATAACCAAGACACATGTTAACATAACCCTGACATATGTTAATATAACCCAGCCACATGTTTACATAACCCTGACATACAATGTATGTTAATATAACCCAGACACATGTTAACATAACCCTGACATATGTTAATATAACCCTGACACATGTTTACTTAACCCCGACCCATGTTTACATAACCCTGAAACATGATCACATAATCCTGACATATGTTAATATAACCAAGCCACATGTTTACATAACCCTGACATATGATTACATAACTCTGACATATGTTAATTACCCTGACAAATGTTTACATAATCCTGACATATGGTAATTACCCTGACAAATGTTTACATAACCCTGACATATGTTAATATAACCCTAACATATGATTACGTAACCCTGACTTATGTTAATATAACTCTGACATATGTTTACATAACCCTAACACTTGTTTACATAACCCTGACATATGTATACATAACCCTGACATATGTTAATATAACCCTGACATACGTTAATATAACCCTGACATATGATTACATAACCCGGACACATGTTTACCTAACCCAAACACATGCTTACATAACCCTGACATATGATTACATAACCCGGACACATGTTTACTTAACCCCGACACATGCTTACATAACCCTGAAACATGATCACATAACCCAGACACATGTTTACATAACCCTAACATATGTTAATATAACCCAGACACATGTTAACATAACCCTGACATATGTTAATATAACCCTGAAATATGTTTACATAACCCTAACACATGTTTACATAACCCTAACACATGTTTACATAGCCCTAACACATGTTAACATAACCCTGACATATGATTACATAACCCTGACATATGTTAATATATTTACATTTGGTGTGGCAAAGCCCTTCTATATTACTAATGACGTACTGCCAATAGCAGCTTCATCTTATGAGACTATAACTGAAGTTGGTCTTTGCACCTCCGATCGACTTAACAGTGTCACTATCGAACTTATCGGTATCTTCTGCTTTGATCCCGAACACCAGCTGCCTGTCTCAAGTGTCTGTGTGATCAACAAACAATTATATGCCTGGGTATTTCACAAATTCAACCTTCTCCGGTTGCACGATCAACATCAACAACATGCCGGACTGCAAATATAACTCTGACCTGATTACTGCAGACTTCCGTTGAGTGTGTGCGCCGGATATAGGTCGCAATAAAATCGGAAAATGTTTTACGACACTTGATTAGTTACTTACAAAATGTTATTTGTTACTATGTATGAATCGAGAATATGATATATATATGAATTGAAAACAAATGAATTATTAAAGAAAGTTGTGGAGTCATTTCAATTGTGTATGGGAAATAGCGCGTGACGTCAGCTGTTATCTTTGTGCCGTTCTAGATATTGATCTGACATGACGGTAATAAGCGGGAAATTTGAAATTTGGAAAGACATAAATTATTTTTTGCGAATTCTCATTATGGAAACATAAATATAAGCAATAAACGGCATAGATGTGGCAGTTATACCAGTTGGTCTGCCACATCTATGCAGTTTAGTGCTTAAATAACCCTGACATGTGTTTACATAACCCTGACATATGTTAATATAACCCTAACATATGATTACATAACCCTGACTTATGTTAATATAACCCTGAAATGTGTTTACATAACCCTAACACATGTTTACATAACCCTGACATATCTTTACATAACCCTGACATATGTTAATATAACCTTGACATATGTTAATATAACCCTGACATATGTTAATATAACCCTGACATATGATGACATAACCCGGACACATGTTTACTTAACCCAGACACATGTTTACATAACCCTAACACATGTTTACTTAACCCAGACACATGTTTACATAACCCTGACATATGTTTCCATAACCCTAACACATGTTTACATAACCCTGACATATGTTTACATACCCCTGACATATGTTAATATAACCTTTACATAGCCCTAACACATGTTTACTAAACCCAGACACATGTTTACATTACCCTAACACATGTTTTCTTAACCCAGACACATGGTTACATAACCCTAACATATCTTTACATAACCCTGACACATGTTTACTTAACCCTGACACATGATTACATAACCCTAACATATGTTTACATAACCCTAACACATGTTTACTTAACCCAGACACATGTTTACATAACCCTGACATATGTTTACATAACCCTAACACATGTTTACATAACCCTGACATATGTTTACATAACCCTGACATATGTTAATATAACCCTGACATATGTTAATATAACCCTGACATATGTTAATATAACCCTGACACATGTTTACTTAACCCTGACACATGATTACATAACCATGACACGTGATCACATAACCCAGACACATTATCACATAACCCTGACACATGATCACAAAATCCTCACACTTGTTTACATAAACATGACACATGCTTACACAACCCTGACACATGTTTATATAACCCTGAAACATGATTACATAACCATGACACGTGATCACATAACCCAGACGCATGTTTACATATCCCTGATACATTGTACGTGATCATTTAACCCTGACACATGATCAGATAACCATGACACATGTTTACATAACCCTGACACTTGATCACATAACCTTGACACATGATCATATAACCCCAACACATAATCACATAACCCTGATACATGCAGGACATGTTAGTCTATGCATGATCGTATAATCCTTGTTCCTCCAAATCGGTGCCCATCCCCAAATTGCCAGACAACTCGAAATTTTGCTATACAAACAGTTAAATTCTTTAAACTTTCATTCCATTTATTTTTTATTTTTTAAATATAAACTTTCGTTAAATAGATCATCACAAATATTTCTGTTATAAAAAGTTGTTGACCATTGACTAAAAACAGCTGTATAAGGAAACTAGCATGGGCATAAGTTGATGACGAAAAATACCTACCAAGTTGCATTTTTGCCGGTGATTCCGGCGGGATCCAGAAAAGGACCAAAGTAAGTGACGTCAGCAACACGCAGGGTAGAATGAGGATGTAAGCATAGAAGGTGGCTCTTCTTCTGATGGTTATAGAAAACGTGAGGTCGATAAAGGGCGCTTGGCAACACACGTATTTCATGACATTTCTCTGAGCCGGTGTTTCTATGACGTCCCACACGTTACTCACATAGTAATCGTCCATAGTCATTTCACTGGCATTTACAAAATGGAGGTCCAGTTTAAATCCGTCGTAGGACCATGAACCGAACTTGAGGTGACAGTGTTGCTTGTCGAAGGGGAATGTAGCTACGTCTACGTTACACGAACTTTTGTAGACGGCCTGTGGAAGCCACGTTATGGTACCGTCATACCTCACCACGCACATCGCATCCCGGTTCTCAGTCAGTCTGTCGTCAGCACTGCAAAAGTGACGTCATAATGACGGTTATATATCAAAGTTCGAATAAGAAAATTAGGTAAGATGAAATTGGAAAATAAGTACGCGTTTCAGCATCTTATAATATTTTACATAATAGTAAAATATATTCTTATTTTCTAAATAGAATAGAAACACACACATCCAGGATTTGATTTTGCCGTCCTTGATATGACCATTCCCGATTATAATTTGCCAAAAGCCTGATCAAGATCTTGTGATTGGTGACAGGAAAATCATAAATTTATAAAAACATATATTTAATCACGACAACAATCAGATATTGTTCAGGAAGCGTCCCGATTTAGCCGTTTCCAGCCGAATTCGTCCCGATTCTCCCGTTCTCAATCCGAATCTGATCCGATATGTATCTTCCACGAAAAAAACGACAGAATCTGTCCCAGTAGCGTCCTGATTCTCCCGAATGCGATCCGACAGGGATCAGACAGTTACCGGACAGATCTGGACGCAATCTGGACTCAATCGGCAAGAAACGGCAATGAAAAATTTGTCCAAATCATGCCCGTTCATCACGACAGCGTCCCGATCCACAGGACACCGTCCAGACAACACAGGACATTGTTACGATAATTATTGATCCGATACAGCAGAATCTGTCACGACATAGTCACGATTGGAATCCGACTAGACAAAATCGGCTGTTTCCCGAATGTTAAGTGACGCACCTTACTATCGGGAGTGCTTGGCCGACCTCTCTGGACCTTTCACGATCCGTAGGACTCTGTTGCGAACGAATACGACAGCGTTCAGACAATGATAGGACATTCCAGCAATTGAGGATAGTAATCCGACTTTTTCACTTTTTGTGTCGTAGCACTGTCTGGTCTCAAACGGGAGCCGTAAGGGAAGTTTACAAATGTAGCATTGCTACAATGGGCGGCCACTGTAGGCACAGCCACAGTACTACATGTACTAGTATGATATAGTTTTATTGTAAAGTTGCTAGTTGCGCCACTGGCTAAACATTTGTCAAACACCTTGGTGCAATAGACCTATGGGCATATACTTAAATGGAGAGCCACAGTCCTAATACATTATTGGTCCAAACAGCGGGGCACCACAGCCCTTATACACATGTACTTAATTGGTTCAAAGTGTGGGACCAAACATTCTTTATACATTAAACTTTATTGAACCAACCAAGGTGGGGCGACACACCCCTTTTACTACATGTATATCGGTCCAAAGCATTTTGGCGCCACAGTTCTTATGCTTTAGTGGTCCAAACAGTGGAGCGCCTCAGTCCTTATGTTTTTCTTGTCTTATCGGTGTGACGACACAGTCCTTATGCTTCGCTTGTACAAACAGTTATGCGCAACAGTTCGTATGCTTCAATTGTCCAAAAATTGGGGTGCAACAGTCCTAATACTTTACTTGTCCAAACATTGGGGTGCCATAGTCCTTATGATTTACTTGTCAAAACAATGATGCGCAACCGTCCTAATACTTACTTGTCAAAATAATGATGTGCAACCGTCCGTATACTTTACTTGTCCAAACACTGGGGTGCAACAGTTCTAATGATTTACTTGTCCAAACCGTGAGGCGCCACAGTTTGTATGCTGTACTTGTCCAAACATTTGGGTGCAACAGTTCTAGCGCTTTACTTGTTCAAACATTGGGATGCAACAGTGTTTATGCTTCACTTGTCCAAACAGTGAGGCGCCACAGTTTTTGTGCTTTACTTGTTCAAACATTTTGACGCAACAGTCTTAATGCTTTACTTGTTCAAACATTTTGACGCAACAGTCCTAATACTTAACTTGTCAAAACATTGAGGTACAACCGTCCTAATACTTAACTTGTCAAAACATTGAGGTACAACCGTCCTAATGCTTTACTTGTCAAAACATAAGGGTGCAACCGTCCTCACACTTAACTTGTCAAAGCATTGGGGTTCAACCGTCCTAATACTTAACTTGTCAAAACATTGAGGTACAACCGTCCTAATACTTAACTTGTCAAAACATTGAGGTACAACCGTCCTAATACTTAACTTGTCAAAATATTTGGGTGCAACCGTCCTAATGCTTTACTTGTCAAAACATAAGGGTGCAACCGTCCTAACACTTAACTTGTCAAAGCATTGGGGTTCAACCGTCCTAATGCTTTAATTGTCCAAACCGTGAGGCGCCACAGTTTGTATGCTTAACTTGTCCAAACTGTCAGGCGCAACCGTCCTTATACTTAACTTTTCAAAACATTGGGGTTCAACCGTCCTAATGCTTAACTTTTCAAAACATTGAGATGCAACCGTCCTAACACTTAACTTTTCAAAACATTGAGATGCAACCGTCCTAATACTTAACTTGTCAAAATATTGGGGTGCAACCGTCCTAATGCTTTACTTGTCAAAACATAAGGGTGCGACCGTCCTAACACTTAACTTGTCAAAGCATTGGGGTTCAACCGTCCTAATGCTTAACTTGTCAAAACATTGGGGTGCAACCGTCCTAATACTTTACTTGTCTAAACATTGGGGTGCAACATTCCTAATGCTTTACTTGTCCAATCCGTGAGGCGCCAGAGTTTGTATGCTTAACTTGTCCAAACTGTCAGGCGCAACCGTCCTTATACTTAACTTTTCAAAACATTGGGGTACAATAGTCCTAATGCTTAACTTGTCAAAACATTAAGGTGCAACAGTCTTAATGCTTTACTTGTCAAAATATTGGGGTGCAACCGTCCTAATACTTAACTTGTCAAAATATTGGGGTGCAACCGTCCTAATACTTAACTTGTCAAGACATTGAGGTAAGACCGTCCTTATACTTAGCTTGTCAAAATATTGGGGTGCAACCGTCCTAACAATTAACTTGTCAAAGCATTGGGGTTCAACAATCCCAAGCTTAACTTATCAAAACATAAGGGTGCAACAGTCCTAATACTTAACCTGTCAAAACATTAGGATGCAACCGTCCTAATACTTAACCTGTCAAAACATTGAGGTGCAACATTCCTAATGCTTAACTTGTCAAAACATAAGGATGCAACCGTCCTAATACTTAACCTGTCAAAACATTGAGGTGCAACATTCCTAATGCTTAACTTGTCAAAACATTGAGGCGTCACAGTCCGTATGTTTCACTTGTCCAAATATTGGGGCGCAACATTTCCTATGCTTTAATTGTCAAAACAGTGAGGCGCCATAGTCCTTATTCTTTAGTTGTCCAAAAAGTGAAGCACCACAGTTTTTATGCTTTACTTGTAAAGGGTCGCCACAGTCCTTATGCTTTAGTTGTCCAAACATTCAGGCGTGATAGTCATTATGCTTTACTTGCCGAAACAGTGAGGCTTCATAGTTTTTTATGCTTTACTTGTCCAAACAGGAATGGCAACAGTCCTTATGCCTTAGTTGTCCAAACAGTGAGGCGTCATAGTTTTTATGCTTTACTTATCCAAACAGGGGTGGCCATAGTCCTTATGATTTAGTTGTCCAAACAGTGAGGCGTCATAGTTTTTATGATTTACTTGTATAAACAGTGAGGAGCCACAGCACTAATAGTTTTTAGACTTACTCTAAGCTCAGGCACAGAAGTTACCCATCACTCCAGCCTTTAGACTTACTATAAGCTCAGGCACAGAAGTTACCCATCACTCCAGCTTTTAGACTAACTCTAAGCACAGGCACAGAAGTTACCCATCACTCCAGCCTTTAGACTTACTCTAAGCTCAGGCACAGAGGTTACCCATCACTCCATCCTTTAGACTTACTGTAAGCTCAGGCACAGAAGTTACCCATCACTCCAGTCTTTAGACTTACTCTAAGCTCAGGCACAGAAGTTACCCATCCCTCCAGCTTTTAGACTAACTCTAAGCACAGGCACAGAAGTTCCCCATCACTCCAGCCTTTAGACTTACTATAAGCTCAGGCACAGAAGTTACCCATCACACCAGCTTTTAGACTAACTCTAAGCACAGGCACAGAAGTTCCCCATCACTCCAGCCTTTAGACTTACTATAAGCTCAGGCACAGAAGTTACCCATCCCTCCAGCTTTTAGACTAACTCTAAGCACAGGCACAGAAGTTACCCATCACTCCAGCCTTTAGACTTACTATAAGCTCAGGCACAGAAGTTACCCATCACACCAGCTTTTAGACTAACTCTAAGCACAGGCACAGAAGTTCCCCATCACTCCAGCCTTTAGACTTACTATAAGCTCAAGCACAGAAGTTACCCATCACTCCAGCTTTTAGACTAACTCTAAGCCCAGGCACAGAAGTTACCCATCACTCCAGCCTTTAGACTAACTCCAAGCTCAGGCACAGAAGTTACCCATCACTCCATGTCCAAACAGTGAGGCGTCATAGTTTTTATGATTTACTTGTATAAACAGTGAGGAGCCACAGCACTAATAGTTTTTAGACTTACTCTAAGCTCGGCACAGAAGTTACCCATCACTCCAGCCTTTAGACTAACTCTACGCTCAGGCACAGAGGTTACCCATCACTCCAGCCTTTAGACTTACTGTAAGCTCAGGCACAGAGGTTACCCATCCCTCCAGCCTTTAGACTTACTGTAAGCTCAGGCATAGAGGTTACCCATCACTCCAGCCTTTAGACTAACTCCAAGCTCAGGCACAGAAGTTACCCATCACTCCATGTCCAAACAGTGAGGCGTCATAGTTTTTATGATTTACTTGTATAAACAGTGAGGAGCCACAGCACTAATAGTTTTTAGACTTACTCTAAGCTCGGCACAGAAGTTACCCATCACTCCAGCCTTTAGACTAACTCCAAGCTCAGGCACAGAAGTTACCCATCACTCCATGTCCAAACAGTGAGGCGTCATAGTTTTTATGATTTACTTGTATAAACAGTGAGGAGCCACAGCACTAATAGTTTTTAGACTTACTCTAAGCTCGGCACAGAAGTTACCCATCACTCCAGCCTTTAGGCTAACTCTAAGCTCAGGCACAGAAGTTACCCATCACTCCGGCCTTTAGACTTACTATAAGCTCAGGCACAGAAGTTACCCATCACACCAGCTTTTAGACTAACTCTAAGCACAGGCACAGAAGTTCCCCATCACTCCAGCCTTTAGACTTACTATAAGCTCAGGCACAGAAGTTACCCATCACACCAGCTTTTAGACTAACTCTAAGCACAGGCACAGAAGTTCCCCATCACTCCAGCCTTTAGGCTAACTCTAAGCTCAGGCACAGAAGTTACCCATCACTCCAGTCTTTAGACTTACTCTAAGCTCAGGCACAGAAGTTCCCCATCACTCCAGCCTTTAGGCTAACTCTAAGCTCAGGCACAGAAGTTACCCATCTCTCCAGCCTTTAGACTTACTATAAGCTCAGGCACAGAGGTTACCCATCACTCCATCCTTTAGACTTACTGTAAGCTCAGGCACAGAGGTTACCCATAACTCCAGCCTTTAGACTTACTGTAAGCTCAGGCATAGAGGTTACCCATCACTCCAGCCTTTAGACTTACTGTAAGCTCAGGCATAGAAGTTACCCATAATTTCCTTAAATGGTAATGGAGTTTATACAAAAAGTGGATGTCGACGCCAGTATTGCGTAATAGCGTTGTTTAATTCGCCATAACGGCAGAGCGTAAGTCTCCGACTTCAGCTATCGACCATATCCTGTGAGACCACCAGTTCTGTTCTTAAATGAAATACCTTGCATTGGCAACTAAATTCACTTTTATAAGGTGTCGTTTAAAACTTTCCCTAACGATTATGAAACTTAAAAATTACAAGCAAGATAGCTGCATGATTTGTTTATAATGTGTTTCACAGACAGTTCTACCTTATACAGACAAACAGGATGTTTGAATATCAGCGATAACCCTATTCAATAAATGTAGCAACGCGTATCAATGTTATTGTGTAACTTATTAGTTATATAAATATCGTGTCAATGTTGTGTGTAACTGACTTGTTATATAAGTGGTTATATAACTATCGTGTCAATGTTGTGTATAACTTACTAGTTATATAACTATTGTGTCAATGCTGTGTGTAACTTACTAATTATATAACTATTGTGTCAATGTTGTGTGTAACTTACTAGTTATATAACTATCATGTCAATGTTGTGTGTAGCTGACTAGTTATATAACTATAGTGTCAATGTTCTGTGTAACTAATAAGTTATATAACTTTCGAGTCAATGTTGTGTATAACTTATTAGTTAAATAACTATCATGTCAATGTTGTGTGTAACCTATTAGATATATAAATATCGTGACAATGTTGTGTGTAACTTACTGGTTATATAAATATCATGTCAATGTTGTGTGTAACTGAGTGGTTATATAACTTGTTATATAACTATCGTGTCGATGTTGTGTGTAACTGACTGGTTATATAAATATCGTGTCGATGGTGTGGTTAACTGACTGGTTATATAACTATCATGTCAATGTTGTGGTTAACTGACTGGTTATATAACTTCTTATATAACTATTGTGTCAATGCTGTGTGTAACTTACTAATTATATAACTATTGTGTCAATGTTGTGTGTAACTTACTAGTTATATAACTATCATGTCAATGTTGTGGTTAACTGACTGGTTATATAACTATCGTGTCAATGTTGTGTGCAACTTACTGGTGATATAACCATCCTTATCGTGCCAATGTTGTGTGTAACTAATAAGTTATATAACTATTGTGTCTATGTTGTGTGTAACTTACTAGTTATATAAATATCCTTTCAATGTTGTGTGTAACTGACTGGTTATATAATCATCATGTCTATGTTGTGTGTAACTGACTGGTTATATAACTGGTTATATAACGATCGTGTCAATGTTGTGTGTAACTTATTAGTTATATAACTATCATGTCAATATTGTGTGTAACCTACTAATTATATAACTATCTTGTCAATGTTCTGTTTAACTAACTAATCATATAACTATCGTGTCAATGTTCTGTATAACTTACTAGTTATATAACTATTGTTTCAATGTTGTGTGTAACTTACTAGTTATAAAACTATCATGTCAATGTTGTGTATAACTTACTAGTTATATTACTATTGTGTCAATATCGTGTGTAACTTACTAGTTATATTACTATCGTGTCAATGTTCTGTATAATTTACTAATTATATAACTATCATGTCAATGTTGTGTGTAACTAACTGGTTATATAACTGGTTATATAACTATCGTGTCAATGTTGTGTATAACTTATTCGTTATATTACTATTGTGTCAATATCGTGTGTAACTTACTTATTATATAACTATCGTGTCAATGTTCTGTATAACTTACTAGTTATATAACTATTGTTTCAATGTTGTGTGTAACTTACTAGTTATAAAACTATCATGTCAATGTTGTGTATAACTTACTAGTTATATTACTATTGTGTCAATATCGTGTGTAACTTACTA